TAATTATCTTTATTACAATTTTATGTCATACTCCAATAAAAGCAACGTAGTTTTGATTAAAATACGGGTTTTTGTTATTCATAAAATAATAATAAAAAATTACATTTTACTCATTCGTGTTAGTATAATTCTTTCTCGACTTCACGTTAAAATGTTTGAAACTACAATTAATCAGGGACTCGCGAAAACATGCGAGGCTTTTGTATGAGTCACCTTTACATAGGTTAATGACCTAGGTAGCGAGAAAACAGATCTGTATGGTCATGGTTTTGCTCTAAAAACACCTTGATACAATTTTATTTTGTTGTTTTTAAAGTTGAATGACTTCTTGATAACATGTTTTGGATTTACGATGTATAAAATAATTCTAATATGTTTGATACCATCAGCATCGCTACTTTGGAATAAAAAAACATTAACAAAAACATGAAAACAACATTTCTAGAATTATATTAGTATAAAATCTTCATTTCAACAGAACGTGACAACTAAAGTCATATACGTCTTAAATTGTGGAAATAAAAGTCTATTAATGGGTTGGAAATTTCTACTACCGTTACTTTAAGAAATAAAAGCGTCATTAAAGAAAGGAGTCACACTAAAAAATCTGCTAAATCATGTTTTTTAATTACGTAACATTCGTAATATATTTCACAATCATAATACTATTTAATAAATATTTTCATGGCCATTTAATATTTCATTTGAAGTATCAAGACTGTTAAATCGCAGCATATAACCCCTTTAGTAGAATACGCGCTTCCAGCATGACGTATCACCTCTGCATATTAATTCGCCGTATAATTCCCGATAATAATATCCGAGCCCTTTGTTTCAGAACTTTGCCCTGTGGCGCTATTGAACAAAAATCGGTTAGTTATGATTTGAAATTGAGAGTTCTGTACATATTTTTGAATTATATGGTAAACCGGACTTGAATACTACGCTCTGAATGACTTTGATTTCAATTTAGGGGAAAATATATATAAATGTTATGTTGCAAAGGTATTAAAAAACGCCACAGTGATCACGGCGCACGGGGCGGACATACAATATGGACACGAGGTGTCACAGAGTAGTGTCCAAGGCCAGATTCTCATGGCTCAAGGCAATAGTGTGACGATGTGACCTCCTTCCATCGTCATCCCACCTTTTTATCACCTTTTCTCTGGTTCCTGGCCAATTGTTTTCAAATTTTTGAATCGTTCTGAAATTCCTTTGCCTCGTTATTCTCATTTTGTTTCGTTCCGCTGTCATTCTCTGCTCAATCGCTGAAGCGAGCAGTGCTGCTCGTCTAATTTTGATCCTTTTGCCAGTTCCCAACTTAAATCATGTGCCAATTTTAATACCAATCTAACCTAGTAATATTATGTAACTCAGCCCTTTCGGGGTAAGTCTGTCTCACGTTTTAGTACTTAAAAGTAGACAGTGTTTTGTAGCGTTGTGCCTGTTTTTTATACCCTTTTCTTGTTACAGCCTTTTTTTCTTTCGACTTTATTTATGAAATAAATTATGTGGACCGGAGTATTCTATTTGATTGCCGTGAACCTGGTCACGGCGCATGAGCGGTTCACAAGCTCTTCACTGGCGTTCGAACAACAGGATCAGAGGTGAAGGTTATTTTTAACGGTTCCTCGCCTCGCCTGAGATACGACCTGTGCTACAGGGAGATCATACCAGATTTTCCAGGTTCGAGAAAGGAACGAACAAACGGTCCATACTCGGCATTACTGCGAAAAGAAAAACTGCGAGACAGTGGCGCCACCTGCAAGTTACAGAGTGTGTCGCGCGCTATATAGAAAGTACAAGTTGTTTTTCGAGTTCAAAGTGATTAAAATATAGAGTGTTACTATTAAACGTGATCTCATTGCACGATTTCTAAATCTGACCAAACGATGTCTGAAGATTCAATTCTAAACCCTGACGGTCCCGACAGATATTATTTGTCCCATCTTTTTTGGGGTTGAATACTTTTCAATGCGGAGCTCTGTTACACGATTTTTTTTACTACATTTTTTTATTAAATAGGCACAAGTGGCCCAACCTCACCACATTTTAAGCGACGATGTGAACGATGTTGATACGTATTTGTCTAAAAAATGTCTACTCACTTGTGAACAGCTCATTGTAGTTTTCGGGAAAGACAGTTGCCAATCGCATTTTATTTCTTTTCTGTACGTACGATGGAAGCAAATCGTATCGTGTTTCGTGTGAATAAGTGATATTTCAATATCATAAGGATGCAAAGTGCCGGACGTTCTATAGTCTGTCTTTTTTGTAGATGGAGTAAAATGACATTTGCAGGGTTGCCAGTTTTCTTCAATTTTATATAGTCATGTAGTTGTTGTCGACAGTTTTATCGATAGAATGTGAAAGTAGGCAATATTTTGCCAAAAACGTCTGATTTGTGAATGTTCCGATATTCTAATGACAATTTGAATTGCGTTATTGTATTCTTTATTCCTATTTTGCCCGTTGGTCTATTAGATTCGAAACAAATTTTTAGTCATACACATAAAGACAGGCGGATTTGATTATGTATGATAAATTGTAATGAAAAACTTTAAAATAAGTCTCCTGTTTGTATGTTTAATAGATATACTTCTAAATTTAGTGTATGTTTGAACTAATTTTCAAAAATTAACATTTGAAATGAACACGTGTCCAGCAGTTGGACGAATATTGCTCCGATAATGATTCAAATGAAACAAGTTCAGCTATTTATTTCATAAGCGTAACCAACATTCAGTCGAAAGTCGATATAACATTTATTGACTGCAATCACTAGTTGCTTGCAAGTGGACAACATTTTTGCACAATGAACTGTCATTCTACTCCATCTTCAAAAAAGGCAGATTATAGTCGCCCAAAGGAAGAACACTGAGGGAGGAATTAAACAGCGCAGGAGCGCACACTATCCGAAATGTGTACGATAGGAAATTGACAATTAATTATTAGTAATCTAAAGTTACAAATTCGAAAATCTGTATATACGAAACGTGTGATTTACATCCCCTCATACTATTAATAATAAAAATGAATGTGAAACCCTAAAAATGGTGACGACCATACTTTTTCGACACTGTATGTTCTTTTAATTAAATTATTTTTTACCTAAATGATCTGAAACATCTTCTACATGAAAGCGTCTTCTACAATCACGAAGTCGATAATTAACTTTATAAGGTCAAGTAGAATAAACTCAATTTTATTTTTTCATTCATTGTTTATTCTAGTGATAAACTCCGCGGGTCGATAAAAAACTTCTTGAAGAAATCTCACAAAAAAGACGTAACTTTGATGGAATCTGACAGATGACAGTGAAAGACCGAAACATTACATAAACACTAGTGAAATATTATGTAAACTTAATAAAAAATTCAATGTTGAAATACAAAGGATAAACATCCTACCCGCCAAAAACATGACGATTCACAAACAGACATGGTTATCGACATGCAAAGATAATTATAATTTTGGAATCTACGAAAACACTACCATTTTGCTGGTATTGTGATACATGTTACATATTATGGTACGAACTTAATATATATTAAAAATGAATGAACAAGCAAATACGATGTATATCTCGACTTATGACCCTGATTATGTACAGGTACACTCAGACACAAGTGATTTTGATATAGAAGATAATCCTAATGTAAAAACAAAAAAAGTATTCATATGTAACGGTAGGAAACATAAACAAGTTCATCTAGTGATACATAAATCACAGAGTTCACATAGTTCTTTATATTACGATATGATGAATTGTGTAGAATCAGAGAACCGTAAAAACACAAATCTAAAAAGACCAGAAGTAGATTACGACTATATGAATTTTCGTAAGGAGACAAATTTAAAAAACTTGCGTGAATGCACTGTCGGTGAATCAATATACGATTCCGGTCGCAGTCAAAATAAACGTATAGACAAACATATTCGTTGTGAGAGCAAAAGTGCAAAGAAATGTTTTATTTATGACACTAATAACATAGACCCTAAAAGTTGCATAGTGAAACAACTAACTAATAAAACACTAAATAAGAATAGTAGCTGTGGGAAATATCGTACTAATTCACAGAATAAACGAGTCTACCATGACAGCAAAAAAAAAATTCGTCCAGGTATATACTATCGTATCGATGGTAACTGTATAGATAATAATAATCGTACTAAAAGAAAAAGGATAGACCGTTATGTTAACAGTGAAGGTACTCGGATAGAAAATCATTGTCCTAGCGATCGTAAACTCATAAAAAATCGCATTTATAGACAAGATAAACCGGCAGACTGCTATATTCATAGCGGAGATAATCGAATACATAAAGTCCTCCATTCGACTTCATCGAGATGGCCACTACTAAAACAAAAATGTATGCCACATTTATATAATATACTTGGACGTTTCGGTAGCAACACAGTAGCGCAGAAAAATACTCGTGGCAAGTGTAAAAGGCGAAAGCCATTGGAAGATGTGGATTTATTTTATTGTTCCAAATGCAAAACAACACGAACTACAAATAATTCAATACATGTAGTACAAGCTATTCAGAGTTCTAATGAAAATATATATAATCATACAGCTCTTGATCAAATGAAATATGTCCAACATGGAGCTGCACGTGTTCTTCAAGCAGAAGATATCGACAAAAGCCCATTACAACGTAAGCGATCCAATTGCAGTTTCTCTTTCACTTCAGACTCCGAAATGATGAATGACAAAAGCCGGCAAAAATTTGAAAAACAACTTAAGAAGAAAATAAAAAAATATTTAAATCGACAAATTAAAAAAGGATCTGTAAAAGAAAAATTACGGCCGTATCCGTATGAAGACGTCACTTATGCATCAATGGATATAAAAAATTCACTTTGTTCAACATCATCGTACTTTTTAGACTCATTATTTCGGGACATTAATAAAAAATATGAAAACAAACAAACAAATTCCAGCAGAACTATTAATAGAAAAAAACGTAATCTTAAAACACTTAATACCCGTGTTGGTGGCTCAGATTATATATACGAGAGATTTGGGCATTTTAGTAACAATTATCCTTTAAGTAATAGCAATTTTCAACGAGACTGTTATGCGGATAGAGGAACAAACAATCAACAACAAATAAAGACCCTGGCAAGAGTTAACTCTGTTGTGGGTTTTAGATGCCACTGCATTCCAAGACATAACGAGTGCATTCTGAAATCACAGATATTGCAACCTATGCAAACACCTGGAACGTTACCTATGAACAATCCGTCAGCCTCAATAAGACCGATTCCTCAAAAATCTTTGGGAAATTTTGAATTTGATTGTGTGTGTAAAAAGGAACTAAATCATAAGAATCAACCGGGAAACTGTGTTGATTACCGGCCTCTACAATGTCATCCACATCCACCTCCTCAACATCTTCCATATCCACCTCCTCAACGTCTTTCATATCCACCTCCTCAACATCCTCAACCTCTTCAATCTCCTCCGCGTTATTCACGTCCTCCACCTCTTTCACCTGCAATTCAGATAAAGCAAGAAGGACAGGAATGTAGCGAAGGTTGTAATCGATATGCGCATGACAAAATATTGAAAGCAGTTAAGAAACAATATGACGGTGAAATTATTTGCATTCATAAGCCTCCGTGTGTATTGATAAACGGCTGCCTAAATTTATCCCCAAATGAAATACGCAAATTACAGTCTACGGCTGTTTATTCTGCCGTTCAACCTACTAAAATACCTTTAACACATAATAAGGCAGTAAACCCTGGATCGAGAAATAATATGAAGATAAGCAACGTTTGCGAAAAACGTGTTGAAAATAAAACTCCATATTTGCCAAGGGGTCAAATTAGTAACAATGTAAGGAGAACAACTCACGGTGTAAATACTGGCACACCTTATTACGAAACTAGTAAGTATCAATCAAAACTCAAAGATAATCCTAAACTAGTGTTCAAAACTCTGCAGATACAATCAATACAAGTGGAAACGTCAACTAATGAAATGGAAACTGAAGATGGCACAAAAATAAAACCAGATGAGGCGGACATCCCTAAGAATGTGAAGAGCACAGAATCAAAATCAGATATGTTAGACATTCTTAAGAATATGACCCACCCCACCACACCACTTGGTGATGTAAATACTACTACTACTCAGGTAAGATATAGACATAGTATGTCCTGTCATAACAATTGTGGAGCTCAGTGCCTTTGCAAATCAGACTGTACATCATCTCACTTGTCTCAAGGCCTTAATTCAGAGCATCCGATATGCTTAATGAATTACTCGGATTTCCCTGTTATCAAAGAGAATGCTAGTGCTCAAGTAACCCCTGAAGCAGATCCAAAATTTGAAAACTATTGTATACACGTGCCTATTTGTCAAAAATTAAGGAACTGTCACGTTGAAATGGAAAAAAATTACGAAACACCGACGACTCATTCGTATAAATCACAAACAAGTAATATGAACTTAATATCCCTTATAGTGAAGGAGGCCGTCAGTGTTAAGACTTCGAGACACGATTCGATGAAGTCTTTTAACATTTACGAGCCAGTTAAGAAATTGTCCAAATGTGTATCTAATAACTCCTCACGCAAAATATTTCATCAGAATGAAAAGTCAATGATACCTGAAACTGAAAAACACTGTATAGCATTGACGGCAGTTAACGAAATCAGTACCCAAGTTTTATATAAGAGATGTATTTCAAATTTTCGACATCATACAGAAAGCGATGTGTTAACAAAACGGGACATAACTGGTCGGCAAGCACAGGAAAAGCAGCGGCAGCTAATCTGTAGACACCATCCCCCATGTATTTTGGTTCATAAATGCATTGGAAAACAGTTGAAAGATTCAATTATAGCATATGAAGATATTCCAGAATGCTCGCACAAACATTGCTGTGAACTAATCCCCGCCTGTCTCGCAAGAAATTTTAAAGATGTCAGAACTGTTAGTTTACAATGTCCTCCCAATACTTGTCAAATTGTCTAGGATTTTGAACACAGCTCCTAAAATTTTTGAACAAGTAAATGTCAAAATTGTTAAAAGTATTTACGTAACGTGTTGTTAGTTATGGAAGTTTATGTAAAAATAAATTGAACGATGAAGAAAATCAAGAGTATCGTTTAACATCCTAACTGGCGTCTCTGAATCTTATCTTCAACAAATGTGTGTTTATCTAAAGGCTGCGTGTAATAATAGTATCGATAATACACGTAAATCTAGCACTTTGCTTACTGAAGTTGATTTCAAGTAAGAAGCTGAAGTTACCGTCACTGAGGTATGTATGATGTTAGTGCCGTGTTTCAATGTTCAATTATAATGGTTTTAATATATTCCAATATGTGTTTTGCTTTACATTTGTTGTTGCCTAGTAATTTTATAAATTAGGAATAAAGCAGACCCTGAGGTCTGGCCAAATGTCTGCGCGTTCGACCCCAAATCTACAATAAGCTTATCGTTCCAGGATAACAATTTCGAATAGCAATTTGGCATATCGATTGGGATATTTGGACACTAAAACGAATCTAAATTTTGAACAATAGCAAAGACAAGATCAGAACAAATAAACACAACACAATTGTCGTTGTATGATCAACAATTGGGTCTCTCAGCGTAAAAGTGGTGTGACACATTTTTTCTACAATATTACTTTAAATTACACTAAAGTATATGATTAGTTTATATTTGGATGCTATATTTATGTATAAAAAAAATTAAATATTATTTATGTATGAAAATAGCATCCATACATAAAATACTTATGTGATGTGACACTACTTTTGCGCTGATAGGCTCAATTATAATATATGATTGATATCGACAGCAAAATTAGTACAATGCACTTTTTTTGTTTCTAAGGTCAATGTAGTTACTGTTCGGTGTCTCTACCACGAGTTTTCTGTGACAGTTATCGCTATCGACCGCGGAAATTACTTCACAACTTTGTATGGCAAATTGTACGGGGCCCTAGAGGTCATAAGAAGAAACAACTTTTTATATACAAACATTTTACGCAGTCTAGCGATAACACTGTAATTGTAATTTCATGGTAGAGGCACTGTTTGACTGTGTGTAATGTCAAATGTCATACATTCAAATTGGTAGGTCAATGCATTCAAGCAAACAAAATGTAGCCTAAAATAAAATTATGGTTGAACCTAGATAACAAAAAACATTTTTCACTATTTTATTGCCTTTTTTTTTGAAGTCGGTTAGAATCTGAGAACCCGATTTATTCTCAAGTTTCTCTCACATACACCCCACGTTATACATTCAAATGCGCTCCTACTTAAAAAACCCGACCAAAATTTACATGTTTGTGGTGGCCATAAAAAAACCTGGCCCCATATACATTTCTAACTTATAGTCTGTTAGAAAAATTTCCTAATCCGTACGTACCAGAGGAATTTTATAATTTCGACTGTCTAAAAGTAGAAAACCAGTTACCGGACTCGAAAAAAAGCTTGAAAATTTAAAGGAATATATACTTTAAGTTTTTTGGATTAGAATTAGAATTTTAATAGCTTCGAATGAAGGGTTATGATCTTTTTATGCTTGATGCTGTCATCAAAAACTAATGAGTGGGGAACGTTGAACCCAACCAGTTTTTGGTAGTTTTAGAATTACTTTACCCTACCATAATACTTTAATTGTGATAGATTCAAACTTGCTTTGAAACAGATTGGTTAGGAAGATGAAATCAGTCGTAATACCATCGTATAAATACCATAAAACGACTAATCCTGTTTTGGTGGGTCTATTAGAATGTTATTTATGGAAGTATGATCACATTCATACTTTTTAAAACAGGTGTCGTAGTGTCATGAATGAACGTTTAGATGACACGGTTCCCATGTTACTTAAAAATGTATCCACCTTTGTAATAAGGTCTTCGACGGTGAATGTCTTGACTTTATTGCGTATCTTTTTTATGTAAAACAGATACATGTTTGGCCGCTGACGAGTATGCTGACGATAATATGCCTTTGTCCAAAAAATGTCTATTTCTTCCAGGCTTGAATAACCCTAAATAGTAATCGTAAAACTGTAAGACTAGCGGTATTTCATTCCATTGCCTTATGCATAAGAGTGATAGCACACGGGCGCTGCCGGCACGTTGTTGCATTGTGGCAACGCTTTGATATCAACGCACCGAGTGCCACAAGAGCAATAGCGATATCGCAACGTAACGCCGCTTACTTAGAGCGATGCCACGCGTTGCGTTGGCGTTGCGACGCCTGAGTGGTGATGCTGTGTTGTATGACATATAAATCAGAACGACATGCCACACGGAACATTGAAACGGCGCGAGGCAACGGAAAGCATGCGCTTCGGACAAGGGGTCTGGAGATGAAGCGGGGAGGGGTGCTGCAGTGCATAAGTAAGCGTACGTTGCGACACTGCATCGCTCGTGTGGTAATCGGTGCGTTGTGACGATGCAACACACCAAGCAGCGCCCGTGTGGCATCTTTTTTCTTTTTTTTTATAATATCAAGTGACGGGATGAACAAGTCATGCGCCTGATAGTAAGCCTGTCCATAACAGTTGCAGTGCTACTCAGAGCTTTAAATCGCAAAGATTTGAGGGGCACAGTCACTGCGCCCGTCGCCCTGAGACATAAGTTGACAAGTCCCATCTTACTCTTCCCTGCTTTGTCACCTGGTCTCTTGTTCGGTGCACATGCAGTCCGTCCTGTGGCATGTAATTCTAATTTACATGTAAGTACAACACAGCGTCACTGCTGAGACGTCGCAACGCCGCCGTCGCAACGTATCGTGTAGTATCGCTCTTACGATAGAGGAAGCAAAATCTTCACTTCATGAAATTAATGAACCGCACATGAAAGTAAAGACTGTCGCAACTCAAAATTATGGAATCGAGAAAACATGATTTGGAAATTTAAAAAAAACTGAATGTGTCTTATTGCGAATACTAATGTGATTATTTTTATTTATACATATTATTTAGTTATCGATTTATAAATGAGAATATAAATAGGTTACATTCATAATTTTTTTGAATTGAGATTTTGAGAAAATACGATTTAGGAAATGAAACTATTTTTCCGGATTTAAATCGCATATATTTGTAGTCAAGCTTGTAAACTCCTGCATCCTTTAGCTTACAAAGTTACGAGCTTGACTGTGAGTGCAGTCTCTCTTATATTGGACAAACAAAGCGAAGTATTTTTTCCGCGTCAAAGAACATAATTATAGCTGATGTCAAACACCGTCGCGTAAACAAGTCTACATTCTGCGAGCATGTCATGGATAAACCTACACATTCAATGAAGTTTGACAAACCCCAGGTCCTTGCAAAAGAAGTCCGTTATCTACCCAGGATGCTACGAGAGGCCATTGAAATTAAAAAACATCCTAATTTCAACAGGGAAGATGATTTCTCCGTACCACCGGTTTGGGATCCAGTATTTCCTCTAATGAAAAATCCCAAACAGACATAAGACTGTAGTACTATTAATATGTTTTAGTTTATTCTAATTTCTATTAATAATTAATAATAAATTGAACTTAATAAAAATTCATTCAATAAAATAATTTGTAAAACTTAATATAGCGTAAATTGGAATGTTTTCTTTGTAAAATAAAAAATAAGGTATTTAATTAATAACTATTGTAACTATAGTGAAAAAATAGGGTGGTTTGCATCAATATTAGACATAACTGGTTGAAGACTGTACCACCTCCGTCAACCGTGACCTGTAAAGGGCCCGAAACGTTCGGATTGTTTGAAAAAACAAATATACGCGATTTAAATCCGGAAAAATAGTTTCATTTCCTATGTGTAACAATCGCGAAAACCTAAGAACTCGAAAAATACGATTTGATCATATTTTGTCACTGCCGGAATTTTGAGTTACGACAGTATTTGGTTTCTTGTGCAATTCAATAGACATATCGATATCTAACACGGAAGTTGCAAGTCAAAATATATTTTTTTTCTTTTTAACTTAAATATCTATATTCTTTTTTATGTATATTGTAAGTTCCATTGGGGCTAGCACAATAAGACGCGACTAGCGCGAGACCGACATAAAGCGCGAGTTACTGCTGTTCTCGCGTAGAGATACAGGTAGGAAAGTAAATATAACTCTAAGGGATTTCTTTATTTTTCTTCTAAATAAATATCGATAAAGATATCGCTTCCTCACCGCTGAGGATCGTGACTCCATTCTGCCAACCATTTGCATCGGTTGCGCTCAGTCGCACAATGTAGTGCGGTGCTGACAGGCAGCTCCTGTTGTTCGGAGATCTGAGCCGACCACCTTTTCCACCACCACTCCTACCCTTACGTCTCTTTGCCTCCATCGTCCCTGTCACCATTCTTTACTTTTAAGGCGAGGTATTTCTACGTGAACCTACATATTTGGAGATGAGGTGTGGGGGGTCGTCGCCCATCGCGTCCCGCAATCCGCTGTAAATTAATATGAATAAATTAAGAACAAGCGGAGAAAATTTGGCACAGATTGCCGCCCGATGGCGAGTGTCGAGGTGAGCGCCTTGTAAATTTTAGGATAAATGTGAATTTAATAACTAACATCAGGGCATCAGTTGAAAATCAAAATTTAGCAGATTCTTTGTAGTACTTAAAGAGAAATATCTCCATAGAAAAAATTAAGTTAATTGTTTAAATTTATACATAAATTATTCGTTTTACGCTTTTATTTTAGCCTGTTTTCAAAATTTTGTATTTTCGGATAAAGTACATCCTATGGTGAAACACATTCGCACATTCTTCAGGCAATTACCCTTAGGTGTATCGTATATTTTTTGTAAGACCGTTGTTTAACAATAAATAGCTAAACCATTTGATCTCGTAAAGGTTTTTCCCGCTTTTCCTTCCGTGACTCGTCTGAGATAGAATAGAATAGAATCATTTATTTCGGACCATGATCCATAGTAATGTTAGTAATGCACATGGGGAACCTATAATACATAAAAAACAAAAAATGATATTTTGACTTACAACTTACCGTGTGAGGTACAGATATAAACTTCTTCAAATATCTATCCTTGACTATGATATTATATCATTGCAATAAAAAATAGAAGTAAATTAATTTGCCTATCTATATAACCCAGTGAATGTTAAATAGTGCAAAATTGCTGTGCTTGTGTTGAATTTTTTTTTTCTCGTCTTTTATATCCAAATTTTTGATGATGGTCTTTGTGACTGTAGTTGCGCTTGTGTTATTTATTCCATGCGGAGCCAGAGTGGGAAAATTAAAAAAAAATTCAACATAAGCGCAGACAT